CCTCTCCCAAATGTGAAGAAGACACTGGTAAACGTAAAACTGTGCTAGTATACTCTAACTAAAAGTTTTAATATATGTAGTCATGTTTAATTAAGCACACGGTTCTCAGCCTGTAGGGAAGATCAGCTTTCACTGTTTCCGTTTCTAATTTTTGGGATGTTGTGCTGATTAAGCAGTGAATGCAGTCCTTTTTTTCTTTTTCTTTTTTAAATTTAAACCAGAAGAGTCAATCATGTCTACATTTCTTGGTCATTGTTCTGCGAAGTTGCTCTGTGTAAATCTATTGTAGATATGCTGGTGTCCTCATTCCCTTCCTGTCTCTAAGCAGCCGCCACCTGTATCGCTGTCGACGAAATGAGAATTACGGAGATTAGAAAGAAATTAAGCTAGAATTTTTAAATTTAAAACATTCGCTCTTAAGCGTAACTCTTGTTTTTAAAGTTGAAGTGGAGGTTGAATCTGTGTCCCTGGGTTTGCAATAATTAAGATCTGTGGATGTGAAGAAACACCCAACGCTTAAAACGTTTCCAGGACTGACACCGGTGGAGAAGATTGTTAGAATCTGCGGGAATCTGGCCAGATCTCCATTTTTATAAAGCGTTTAGCTTAATATCCTGATGAGCTACAGGTTTGGAAGAGTGGATATGCCTAAAGGCAAAAAAAAAAAAAAAAGCCATATTTTTGTTTCTCAGTATTAATATTATAGTCTTTATAACGTTGTTGGACTATAACAGAAATTTTAAGATATCAGGTTGCTGCTTTGGACAATGAGAAGAATGAGAGTGTGTTGGAAAGGTTTCTCAATTTTGGACAATATGTATTAAAAATTATAGTCAGTTTTGTTATTTGTGTGTGAAATGACAACCTGTGGGGAAAGTTGAATGCTTTGTCTCAATGTATAAAATGTGGGTGTCGGTTTTAAAAACAAACAAAAAAGACTACACAACATTCTGTATCTCTCAAGGTTCAGCCCAGAGGAGTTTGAGCAAGGCCAAGCGTCAAGTCTTTCAAGGATCAGCTAAACGAAGATCAAGATCCAGAAGTAATTTAAATTTGTGCCGTGTAATACTGATTTTAAACTAAGTAACCCTTACTTAAGTGTGCCTTTCATGTAACTGCTCAATAATATCTTTTTCTCAAATGTTGTGCTCCTTCAGTTTTAGCGTTTTTATGGATCTTGAATTAAATATTTGAGTGCTGTAGTACAAAATTCTGTCCAGCTTTATGGTAGTTTCTTCTTACGGTCCAATTAAAATGAATCTTGCTTCCTCAGTTTGTTACACCTATAGAAGAGGACTTTCAGGCTTGGGCACATTTAGGGATCTGTGAAAGACCGTTTTTGCACGTCAATACAGTTTTATGTCAAAATCCTGGCCTACGTCCTAGCTTTTCCCAATAAATTTAAACTTCACCACTGAGTGGCATGTGGAAGCGAAGAGTTATCCACGCATTTTTTAAAAGAAACGTGTTTATAGGATAGCAAGATCTGTTTTGAGGCTTGAAAATTTAATTACCAGCAGAAGAATCTTGACTTGTTCTGTGGCTCCAAATTAAGCAATAGAAATTTGGCCCTAGGCTAAAAAGTATAATTGGGGAATAATAAACAGTAATTAGAAAATTTTGGGATATTCGAATAGGGGATTTGAGGGGTAGGGAATAGAAGCTTTACTTATAAAGAATTAGTGAAACTAGTTGTGATCCTCTGAAAGTTTGTAACATAGAACTTGATTGTTTCAAATGGGTTTTACTCAGACCCGCTGGTTTCAGATATAAATATGCAAGGTACTTAAAAATCTTTTTTTTTCCACGGTCTTTATCTAAAATGTTCCTCTCCCCTTGGTCTTTATATAAAACAAATTCACTTAACACCTGTATTGCTTTATGTTTTCCCAGCCTTAGGGGTGATGTTCTATCACATCGTAATATCAGAAAATGGGATAATTGCTTTATACACCATTAGCGTGCTTCTTAAAAGAAGTTACTTCAAAGCAAAACTCCTGGTTGTAGAGCCATTATAAATTGAAACGAGAAATTAATATTAAATATACAGATAGGTGTAGGATGTTTTTGTAGATAAGGTCAGCTGTGGTAGGTGTCTACTGCAAAGCTAGTTTTAATAAGAGAAGGTGGGAGTCACAAGATGTTTAGGGTTAATAAACATTATCCGGCTGTGTTAGAACAGTAACGTAACTGCTTTGGTTGGAGATAATTTCTAAATGAGCTTCAGACTTTTTTCATATAAGTCTCCCCATCCCTACTCCAAGGTAACTTATATGGAAATAAAAGGAAACCTGTAAAGAGGACAAGGAAACCCACAGAAGATTTTGAAGTTCAAGAAGCACCTAGAAAAAGGCTGAGAATGGATAAGAAGAATTATCAGAAGGTAATTATGTTCTTGGCTTATTTGGGTGTGCCGTGGTGGCAACCAGTGTGATTATTTTTTGACTTTGCTCAGTCACAATAGCCTTCGGCTTCATTGGAGCGGGGGATTTAATTGGATGGAGTGATCGATGGATGGATTGACCCATTAAATGAATGGTTAACCGGAGAGCTCGTTTTAAAACATCGAACTATATACAGTGCGCGTAAAAGCATCTTTGATTCCATATCTTGCATTTGTGGGTCTCTTTTCTGAATCTTCCTTCCACAATGATAGCAGAGGTACAAGTGAGCAGCTGAGACAGAAAAGCAACTGCCCGTCGGAATCTGTGGGGGGTTTCATCTGTAAAAGGAGATAAAATGCCCTTTCGGCTGTACTTTTGAGATAGCCAGTCGTAGGTTTTTGGGGTTTTTTTTTCATCTTGAACTAGTTATATATTTGCATCCAACACTTCACATATTTAGTTTCAAATAAATTGAAGAACAGTTGTGGAAGCAACAATTCATGCATCCAGAAATGTTAAAGATCCAGCAGAATTGTCTCGTATAGGTATTCTCATTTGAATGCCTATGTTGTGAACTTATGTGCAACATTATTAGCACTTTAAAATGTTGTGTTTTTCTTTTTCTTACCCCTTTGCCACATGATAGACAGGTAAGGCGTGTCAACTGTTGTTAAAAGAAACATGAACGTTAGGTCTTAGAGATGATAAAATAGTTGCGTTTAGCATCTTGTATCGACCTCACCGTTGGGTTCTCAGTTTTAATGAATTCCTGAGTAGATTATAGCTTCCGTTTGTGCACTCACCTTAATCCGTGGGAAAAAAAGTCAGCCCCCACCTGTCTGTCCCTTGCATCACTCAGAGATCCCAGCATGTAGTGAGCATGATTTCTTAACGCCCTTCTCCTGGAGGCCTTTCCTTGTATCCTTTGGCAAAGCAACAGGGATGAGGCCATTTGTCAGGGACCCATTTAGTCACAAGAGGCAACTGGACTTTCTGCGTTTCCTTTGAAGGCGTTTTGCTTCTCGTCCAAGAAGCTTCTTCAGCTCTGACCGGATGGTGGGGAATGAAACCATCCAGTCAGAACCGAAGAAACTTCTTGGCTGAGAAGCGAAACGTCTCCAAGGAAAAAAAAGGGCACCTTTTCGACTACTCTGGCCTGGATGACTGAGAAACTCCATAGACGTCACAGACTTAGGTTGTTCTGTACAGAAGGTGACTTGATGAACTGCTTTTATGGGTAAGTTACCTGTCCACAGGTATCTATGAACTGATTGGGTAAAAAAAAAACCGAAAACCTTTGCGCATAACACCCTAGCCATCCTCATAGGAAACTTTGATAACAACACTACCCTTTATACGCATTTCTCGACCTACGAATGCTACTGGGAACAGAAGTTCAGTTGTAAGTTGAAGCCCCCCTGTGACCGGACCCCATTTTACAACTGACAAACCTCAGCCTCGTGACCGCAAGATGCTGCAACTGGCCGTAAACGTGAGCTGGTTGCCAAGCAGCCAAAAGGCAGCCATGGGCCTGGTAGGGTGAGGCGGGACATTTTGACAGCCGGAAATGAGATAAAGAGCGTCATAACTCTGAACGGTCAGCCAGTTGCCAGTCAAAGGCTTACGTCCTTTTCAGTTGGAGGGGCTGCTATTAAATTTGTTTTTAACTTTCAAGTAAAACTCATGTTTGCTTAGTAACCTGTTTTTCCAAACTTACACCCGATTAACTAACTAAACATTATGTTCAGAAAAAAATATGGTTCCCCGGTGGGGATTTTAAATGAAAGTTCTAATTGTCCTATCGCGGAAGTCTTAAAAGTCCTAATTTTAAACCCATTATTTTAAAATTAAATGACTGTTTTAAAGATAATGTTTTTATTTAGAGTCTGTTTCAATGAGGTGATTATTGTCTTCCATTAATTTCTTTCTATATCTAAATTAGGAAGGCTCTTATTTTTTTATTATTATTTCATTTTCTCTTTTCCTTTTTTCCCCATTTTTTATAACAGAGGGAGAGAAGCAATGACAAAACAGCGAAAACAAACTCTGCTAAAGTCACAGAAACCTCACAAAAGAAGCAGTCAGGTAAGTTAGTCAGAACAAGCCTGATGCCTCTTATAGCCTCTTAAAAAGGTTCTACGTTCCGTGGTTTAACGTGGCTGCTGGACTTTGGGGAAGTGAGCCGTGGCACCATTCGAATGGGGCTGTAAGCTTGAGAAGCAGGACACACCTTCTATTTGCTGAAGACGGGGGTCCTAAATGGTTACCCCTTTGCCCCCCTCACTTTAGCCTCCCTACGCAGAGGGAGCCTCTGGCTCTCATGAACCACATTTAGAGAACCGATCAGGAATGGATGGGAAAACCCTGCAGGATTCTTAGAATTGGTAAATGGAACTCTCTTCTGCAACTAGATGGGCAGATAGGGAAGCTGAGAGGGAGGGAGAGATTTTATTGGTAGATGATAGAGATAGACAGATGAAGATAGAAGAATGGATGGATGATGGATATATAAACAGAGATGAATACATAGATAGACAGACATAAGCAAAGACAGATGGATAGAGATAAAGAGACAAATACCGTAAATAGACAGAGACAGATGGATAAATAGTCGTATTAGTCCTTGTGAGTATTTAATTTGTAAAAATTATTTGCAAATCTACTACATCAATAACAGATTATTGACCAAATCCATCCATGTCACATCTTTAGGAGAAGGTGGGGATACCCATTGAATGCTAGATTGCAAACAAGCTACATTATTATTTCTTAACTATTCTTAATTGTGTCTATATTTGCTTCTCTATATTTCTCATTCTACACTGGGGGGGATCTCAAAAGAACATTGTAAATTCTCGATACATCAGTCAGGCGATGTTGGCTTCTGACTTCAAGGAAAGACCCTGGGACTCTTAAGCTCTCTTTGTAAATCACAATTATTTTGCCACAACGACAGGTCTTTCCGATGCCTGTAAGCCACTGAAGAAACGAAATCGGGCCTCGGGACCAGAATCTTCGCATCTCCCTTATAGCAAAAGTTCATCTCCTTCCGCGTCCTTAACGGAGAATGAGGTAAACTGCAAATGAACAATGGAAGACAGATAAAAAAAAGATGCAACTGACTTAAACTTGCTTTCTTTAAACGATGGAAAGAAATAACGGTTGAAACAAGATTAATGTGGTTTATAAACACCTTAATCCTTCCGTTCACCTTTCTCTTTAAATACAGCATGGTAAGTTTATCTCTGCCAGGAAAAGAGGAAGAAAAGTTGGTGGGAACTCAGCTGTGGCTCTTCACTGAGGTCAGATGAGCTCATTCCAGCTTTCCTGAATTTGGTTTCCCATGTCATTGTGAGACATTCAAGTTGGGTTTTCCGACAGAAGCGGTTTGCTGCAAGTATTTCAAATATGGAATAGACCAGGGAGACTGAAGCCATCCAACTATCTTTGATGCCAACTCTAAATTTGTGGTGCTGGCTGGGACTCCTTCGGACTCTCCAAAAGCAGCTTAATCCCAAATATTTCACCCAAAGCTTCTCTTAAAATGCTTAGGAAGAAGAAGTCATTCTATGAAAAAATATAAAACAGAGAGAAGTTAAGCAGGCTCTATTGGCACAGTTAAAGCAAGATGAAAACATGTTCAGTTCACCTCAGGTCGCAAGCAGTATAAACGAGAGGAAAAGTACATTTTCCTGGTTATTGAGATTGTTTTCTCTCCTAAAATGCAATGAAGCCTGTGCAGGGCTTGAGACAGGAAGGAGGGAAAAAACCTTTGGGCCTGTTAACCGAACGGCTCCCTCTGATGTAAAGGAGCATCAGTCCTTTGGTATCTTGGAGCCCCACACAGTCCTTTGGGCCTGCTCACGTGGTGCGTATATCTTTTGTATTCAGCAACCTCAGAATTCGGAGCAATACAACTGCAGCACACCATGCAAGCATTTTTATAGGTAGGCCTCAACGGTTGCTTAGCAACCATTCAAATTACAACAAACCCTGAAAAAGGTGTTTACGACCTGGATTTGACATTCTGATGGCCGCCCTCCTCCACCGTGAGTCAGGTGACCCACATTTTGGGAGCTTGGCAGCTGTCCCCCGTTTACGGCCGTTTGCAGTCTCCTTCAGGTACGTGACCAGAATTTACGTTTTTGCTGGAAGCTGAGTTTATTTCCTATTTTCAGCAAAAAAAAAAAAAAAAAAAAAACCTCCCCATAATAAACAATGGGTTCATTAAACTGTGGCGCTCACTTAATGACCGCCACAAAAAGATCATAAAATCCGGTTAGCCTGAATCAGCTCTCCCCTTTGTGATCATTGGTAATAAACATGGATTAGGGCAACGGGACAATTGATCAAAGAGCATAAAGAAGTTTCTGCTAGGATCCGTTTCCATCACATTGTCCAAGAGAACGCAGAGATCAATAAAAAACTGATTGACAGAGAAGGGTACAGGCAGGTAATTCTTGACTTGCTTAGTGACCGTTTGAAATTGCAATGGAAACAATATTGCAAAAACTGCCCCTTAGCAAACCATGGCTCCGTTCAACCACTGCTGTCTTCTCTTAGTACAACCTGTAGTAGATTAGAATCCATGCCAACAGATTTCAATGTCCTCCTTGTAGACCTACAATGGTGTGGCCTTCTCCACCAGCCACCTCCATCTTCCAACCTCTTGATGCTCTTGATAAGAACCTCGGTTGCACTGTGTTTATTTGAGCCCTGGACAGCAGAATAATTGCCCGCCATTTAACCGTAAGAGCAAGAGTGCAATGGTCCACGTTCAAAGGAGAAGAAAGAAGAGGTTCAACCTGAGCAGTCCTTGACTTCATGAGACCAAGTTCATCCCCAGGGAACTAAGCTCATTGGCAGAGAACAGCCGCTCTCTCGGCTGCGTGTCTTTCCTCCGTGTGTCATCTATGAGCCCAGGCGGCCGTATTGATCATCACACAAGGAGCCCGTGTGCTGGACGATGGTCCTGCTTGTCCTGTGTAAAATGACAACCGTATTTCAGTTTCTCCTCCGAGTAGAAGACTTGCACTATTGCACAGTGACAATCACTGCATAATATGTACTTGTGGAGGCCTGTTTAGTTTTCTGTCCTTAAGTGAAACACTCTTTTCATCCAAGGAAGATGGTCAAATTTTGTGCGCAGAACTCCTCACTTTTTCCAGATATTAATAAGATAATTCTCTAACCAGGTCCCAAAAGTGCTTTTTTCCCCCCCCAAAAGGCAACTGGACTCTCTTTGTTTTTCCTTGAAGACTTTTTGCTTCTCATCCAAGAAGATTTTTCTGTTCTGTCTTCTGTCAGAACTGAAGATGCTTCTTGGATAAGAAGTGAAATGTCTTCAAGGAAAAAACAAAGGAAGTCCAGTTTCCTCTTGAAAAAGCACTTTTTGGACAACCATGACCTGGAGGACTGAGACATCTCTCTAACCAGGTTTCTTCCTAACCAAGCATCTTTGGAATAACCCATGAACTAGCACCTCTTATAGCTTCCCTATTGCCATCTACACACGATTGATGTGAAGCGACTACTGTGTCGCCAGTGTTCAGAGTCCTACTACTGATAGAGGCATTTTGTCATTCTTGCAGGGTTGCTATGATGGGGACAGAAAAAGTGGGTTTCCATGCAAAGGCTCACTCACTGGCTCAAGATCCCAACTAGCTAAGCCTTTCCTTCAGAGCTGGTCAGTGGATCCTTCCTTAAGAGCTTCCTGGGCCAGTAGTGCTCTCTTATGGGGTGACTTGACCTGAACCTTGGCACCAGCCAGCAAATGTTCATGCAACATGCACATACATGTATGTAAACCTCCACACACGTGTCCTTTGGCAGAGTTGTGCTATCCTCTGCTAACTTAACAGTGCATTGACCTGCCTCCTGGCTGGATTTGTTAATCTCCCGTAGCAAACAAACAGGGCGCCCCCAGATCTCCCACTGAAGACGAGCTTGTTTACCTGTAATCTTTTCAAATGGTCATCTCTGCACGCTCGCGTCTTGCACACCTTCAGATTCTCAGTTTGTTGAGTGCTCAGATTCCAGAACTCCCATCTGTTGGGGAAACTGAGGGAAAATTCATAGTTTTGAACAGACAGGCCCAAGCGTGGGCTTCCTTCCTGCCAAAGTCTCGGCTCTAATAGGTCCCAGTAAGAGCTGGTCAGATATAGAAGTCACACGTACCAATTCATAGTTGACACACAAGTAAGCAGCCTGTTCTCTGGAAAATATCCAGATTAAGAATTAGAATTAGAATTAGAATTAGAATTAGAATTAGAATAGAATAGAATAGAATAGAATAGAATAGAATAGAATAGAATAGAATTCTTTATTGGCCAAGTGTGATTGGATACACAAAGAATTTGTCTTTGCTGCATATGCTCTCAGTGTACATAAAAAGACAAGATACATTCGTCAAGAATCATAAGGTACAACACTTAATGATAGTCATAGGGTACAAATAAGCAATTGAATCATACTAGGAAACAGTCAACATAAATCGTAAGGATACCAGCAACAAGTTACAGTCATACCGTCCTAAGTGGGAGGAGATGGGTGGTGGGAACGATGAGAAGATTAATAGTAATGCAGACTTAGTGAATAGTTTGACAGTGTTGAGGGAATTGTTTGTTTAGCAGAGTGATGGCATTCGGGAAAAAACTGTCCTTGTGTCTAGTTGTTCTGGTGTGCAGTGCTCTATAGCGTCATTTTGAGGGTAGGAGTTGAAAGAGTTTATGTCCAGGATCCAAGGGGTCTGTAGATATTTTCCCAGCCCTCTTTTTGACTCGTGCAGTATACAGGTCCTCAATGGAAGGCAGGTTGGTAGCCATGGTTTTTTCTGCAGTTCTAATTATCCTCTGAAGTCTCTATAACATCGTTTTGAGGGTAGGAGTTGAAAGAGTTTATGTTCGCCCACTGAATGCACAACAGGCATGTCACAAATGAAAGTTGATGGAGAATTTTGTTGGGGATGATGAGATCTGTAGTTCAGCAACTCCTGGAGAGCTGAAGTGGTTAATAAATGATATTATTTTCACAGAAGCAATGCTAAATCAGAATGCACAGAAGCTCTTAATTCATCCTCCTGTGGCATTTAGATTTCAGATGGTCCAGGAGATGAACGATCGGAGTCTCCCTATGAAAGCACCGATGAGGGTCTCGGGGAGGTCTCTCAGCTGTCCAAGAAGTCTGACCGAGGGGCCACGGCCAGGAAGGAGTCTGTTTGTCAGGTAAGGAAGGAAGATGCTTGTCAAGCAAATTCTCTTTCCAAAAACTATTGGAAAGACCAAGTTAGGGAGAGATTATCGTGGGGGAAAATGCATTTTAAGTGGTCACTAAGAGTCAACCCTGGACTTGATAGTAGACAATTAATGCTTGTCAAGGCATGTTCTTATTTGTAAATCTGAACATTTAACATGAACAAGTAGGTTGAAATATCCATTGGACTCCCTGTACTGAAAGAGTCTGCAAATGTTCCTTTTCTCCACCGCAAGAAGCCACAGATGCCCACCCTCCACGGAAGCTCCTTCTTTAAACCGGCTGCGTGGCTGTCACGGGTCTCCCTTTGGCACGCATTCCAAGGAGGTTGAAAGTGGAGGCCTCTGCTCAATTTGTCTGATTTTTTACAAAAATAAATAAAAGGAGCCCCTTGCCCTCACAAAGAAAGGAGAGGAGGAGCCGTTGACCGGAGCTCTTCGCCTTGTAAGGTTTGTCTTTCCTCTTCTCAAGGTCTGTGAGAAGCCCGGGGAAGTGATGTTGTGTGAAGGAGGCTGTCTTGGGGCTTTCCATGCCGGCTGCTGCGGCCTCTCCGGAAGGACCAAGGGACACTTTGTGTGTGGCGAGTGCACTTCAGGCAAGTCCTCCTTTGGTGGGGATGGGCGGCCTTTGGGCGCTTCCTGTGCAAACGGTTTTCGCTCAGATCTCGCACTTACCAGAAAGCAGCGATAGGAAGCACGAAGCGTTAAAGGTTCACGCTGAGATGAGAATATAAAGGCAGTAATAATGCACCTCTCTTTCCCTGCCCTCCTTGCTCAGAAAGACAAAGATTCCTCATTCCTTTGTTTTGTACAGGTGGCCCTCAACGTACGCTTTGCAATGAACCCCCCCCCCCAAAATATTTATGCCCTGGGTTCAAACCTGGGGCCCCTGGGGGTCTCTCCCCCCCCCCCCCCCCAGTCATACAAATGAAGTTTGGGCGCGATGAATAGTCGTAAAGCGAAAGTCTTAAGGATTCTGCCAGATCCAAGAAGTTGGAGGCAGATTTGAGCATTTTTGGTTTATGGATTAAGTGGGCTGGAGAGACCTTGAGTTCTGTCATCCATCCATCATTGCCTGATGGGGCTGGAAGTCCCTGGCTAAGCCCTGGTTTCCCAAGAGTAAAAAGGCTGCACGTTTCCTGCTGAAAATAATTTGATCCATCCTACAGTCACCAAATCCGTTTTTCCCAAGTTTCCTTACTATTCTCTAAAAGAGATTTACAAATGTAGACATTGAATGGGGAAAGACGGATGCTTGTGAAGAAATGCCTGCGAAAAATGGGGGGTTTTTTGAAAGAAAAAAAATACGTTACTTTAATTCCAGATACTTTAATACCAACTCTAGCTCCAGTTAAGAATGAACCTGGTTCCATTCTATTCGTGAGAAATACTGAAATGTTTTAAATTTTCATTAGGTGTTCACACGTGTTTCGTGTGCAAGGAGAAGCAATTGGAAATTAAGCGCTGCATCGTATCTCACTGCGGGAAGTTTTACCATGAAGCCTGTGTGAAAAAATTTCCCCTCACCATTGTTGAAAACCGAGGCTTTCGGTGCCCTCTGCACAGCTGCGAGAGTTGCCACGTTGCTAATCCCTCAAACCCCAAAGTATCTAAAGGTATTTCCTTCTTTCCTCCAAATCTCTTCTTGGGGCCCCCGTGGTTCACCTTCAGAGGCCGCACGGCATCATGGTTGCCGATCATTACATGAGAGCTCCCAGTAGCACGAAGAGGTGCTGCATCACCTGCCATGAATAGAGGTAGTCCTCAATTTACGACCACAATTAAGCATAAAAGTTCTGTT